TCGACTTTTGCCAATAATCCTTTTCAGACAAAGGGTAAATTCTGTCAGAAGTTGACCAAAGTTCCTCTTGGAAGAAAAGTACGAGAAATATAGTTCAAGCTTTCGATTTTCTTGTCATCGTCAGGATAGGTAGAGACGAAACTCGCCATTGTCTCTACCTACCTTGATGAAGAAAGCTTGGATTAAATAGCAAGGCAGACTAGGTTATCTATCAGTGGTTGGTAATCAGTCTAGGAGAAGAAAAATTCTGAATTCAAAACTGTATGTGAACCTGGAGCCAAATTACATGCTGCTCCTTGGCAAGGCATAGCACCCGGAAGACACCTCTGTCAGTGTTGCAACGAAGACATCTGATGCAGGAGGTTAGATGTCAATGGCAGAATCTAACAGGCCAGATTTTAGGCAGTGAACTGTAATGGTATCATACAAGAAGATCTTTCATACTGGACAATGGATAAAACCTAATTATTTCGAGTTACAATTACAGTTCTATTTTCTTTTTACGAGATTTTTCTGTTTCTTAATACTTTGCTTGGCTTTTGGAAAGCATCTTTCGCTATCTCGACGCGCCTTCGGATTTCAATGTTGCACTTTCCCATCCTGTTAAAACACTTCCCAGATATTTAAAATTATACTTGTTTGATTTTGATGTCATCAATTCGTCGTCCGCATTCATGAGCTGTTTCTATTACTAACAACCATACACTGCTTATATTTGATACTTAGTCCTTTCCTCTCGCTTTCCTTTCCTCTACCTTCTGTGGGAATTCCAACAGTCTCCTTTCTATGTCTGCTATAAACACTGTGTCATCTGCATATTTGTGACCTCCAACAAAGAATCCTGGTGTAATCCTCAGGTTCGATCCTTGGTCACGGCAACAAATGTAATCGTACAACACCCTCTCCGGTCGTCCAAGACTTCCAACACTGCGGCTGATCGATGAAGATCACTTCGATCTCAGACCTGCCTTATCCCATATTGTCATTTAAGTTTGATCATAAGGACGCCAAAATCGAATCGCCACAGGTATCTTAGTGTTGGGCTGGTCCAATCAGGGCGAAGACGTACAGAGAAAAAAATAACACACGAATAAATTGAACAAAAGTAAATACTGTTTTTATATCAGTCCTCTATACAATAAATGGTTTATATCAGAGTTCACATGCAATTAATTATCAGCCCAACCTGTGTCTAAATTGGAAGTAATATTATCGTTGTTGTCTTGGCAAAATCTGGTTTGCTGTTGTTGGTAAAGTTTGGCACAAGGCTGAAGTCTGAGGCTTTCACGGCAGATATTCACGTGGGCCTCTCTCCTGTCTCTAGTCTCCGTCTCTTCTGCCCCTCGTCTGCCGAATTCGCTTCGGGCATTCGTATTTTGAAGAAATGAGACTTAACATCGGGAAGAGAGGGTTGAGGTTTCTAGGGCACATATGAGGAAGGAGGGCTTGGAAAATCTGTTACTCTCAGGACGAAATGTGGGACAGAAGAAAACAACGCATTACATACTTGTGTAATCGTACAACACCCTCCCCGGTACACAGGCAATAAGTTTTAAACTTATGTTTTCCTGATTGAATACCGAGAGGTATCTCAGTGGTTTAGCTCTTAGCCGTGAAGGTCAAACCTGGTGGAACCAGATGCAGGTCATCCGAACACTTTCCATGGTATTTTCTTCTACCACCGCGGCTGGTCGCTGAAATGACCGCTTCAATCCAGAGCTAACCTTATCCCACGTCGTGATCTAAGTTTGATCATAAGGCAGCCAAGATCGAATCGGGGTAGGTATCTTCATGTTGGGCATGTCCAATCAGGGTGAAGACGCACAGAGAAAAAAAATGACACTCGGATAAATTGAACAAAAGTAAATACTGTTTTTATCAGTCCTCCGTACAATAAGCGGTTTATATGAGAGTTCGCATGCAATTCATTATCAGCCCAACCGGTGTCTAAATCGGAAGTAATATTAATGTTGACTTAGTTTAGATTGCTGCTTTGGTAAAGTTTGGCACAAGACTGAAGTCGGAGGCTTTCGTCGGCAGATAATCACGTGGCCCTCTCTTCTGTCACCGTCTCTTCTCATTCTTTCAGAATCGCCTCAGTGTAAAGGTTGAATAAGTCCAGTGAGAAAACACATCCTTGTCTTACACACCTTTAGGCTTATGTTTTTCGATATAGTTATTTATTTATTTTACAGCCAGGTCCACTCGAGGTAGGTTACGTAAAGGAGTAATTTATATCAATAAGAGGGGAAGATAACGGTTGACTCAAGACTTGAACAGATTAAGATTGTAGTGATCGGGGGAAATCCTCTTGGGAGTCTATTCCATCGGGCATGGTTCACGGGAAGAAGCTGTCTGGGTGGACTTCTTCCTGATTAAATACCGAGAGGTATCTCGGTGGTTTGCTACTATGTAAATGTCATGGTTAAGTCTTAGCTGTGAAGGTCAAACCTGGTGGAACCAGATGCAGGTCATCCGAGCACTTTCCATGGTATTAACGATAGAGCAGTGAGAGGCTCGCTCTGTGAGAGAGAGAGAGGTTGGAAGAAGGAAAATAATTCTTCTCCAATAAGGACTCAGATACGCTTTTGAACCCTATCAAGAGTGAAAAGTGAAGTCTGGGCAGCTCCTGTCCAAATATGGCAACAAGACTCCATTTTCGGCCTGATCTAGCTCTTATAAAATGTATTAGGTTGGTGCAAAAATAATGTCGTTTTTTGACGTTCAACTTAACGTCAAAAACGACATTATTTTTGAACCAACCTAATACAAGATATCATGAGGAATCAAGTACTTACTGAAGCGATAACAAGGAGCCGATCATTTTGTTTGCGATTTTAGTGATGGATCGTACATATAAGTTCCATTTGGAGGTCTTGTCAATCATGTACAACCATTCTCCCAATTATCTTTCGGCTTAAGATTGCTCTGGAATGTTTTGCACGTACCCTAGAATTAAGATTCATATTATAGAGAGAGTTAAAGAGAGATAACTGCGGATTCAAAGTCAGAACATTATCATTGATAACTCTCTCCTCCAATTTGCAAACTCTAGTTATTATATTTTTAATACTTTATATAATGCAAAAGTATCACAATGATACAATCGGTCAATAATTATTTATAACTATGTATACTGGGTCTCCTATATGCAATTACAAGTAATCCAGAATAATTTTTAAAATTTTTGAAATCATATTTATTTTTGGCATATGAATTTTTTGAAACTGTTTCTAAATCTTAGGTTGTCTTTCAAACATTCCGCCTCACCTGCTATCCTCCTCTGTCGCACTGTTTGAGAATTATCATCTTTTTTGGTAGTTAATACCTGTATAAATAAATGGCGGGGAAGTTAATGACTTGATAGGTTGCCAACCGTTAAAGGTTGGTAGCTTCTTATTTCAAATTTTGTAAATGCCTCTAATCACATAAAGATTTCACTATCAGACATTTAATGTTAGCAGACGTGTAAAAAAAAAAAAGAATAGCAGGAATTACTGGCTTGGGACATTGCTATTTATTACATTGATGCGTGTTGCCTCCAAGAAAGCAAAATCCAAAAAAGGAATTGATATTAATATTGGAGTTAGATAGCTTTGGAAACAGTAAATATGAAATTGGTTTTGTCATCAGTACCAAACGGAAGAATAACATCGATTGACATTAGACGAATAATCATGGTATACAGGGTGTTTCACAATTGTTAAAACAAAACAGCGGCCTCTCAGATGGGGGGGGTGAGGACTTTGATGAGAAGGAACAGTGGTTCCAGCAGGATGGTGCTTCTCCTCACAATGCTAATGTTACCATGACATGGCTCCATAAAAAGTTTGGGGAACGTCTCATCAGCCGCAAAGCTGAAGTAGGAGGGACGCTTGACTCGCCTGACCTGAGAGATTTCTGCCTGTAGGGATTTCTCAAAGACAACATCTACCAGGGCAACCCTCATACCATTGCTGTATTGAAAGCATCCATCACTGAGAAGATTCAAGTGATTGCACAGGGGGAATATACATGCGTTATCAACAACTTTGCATTCAACAGTGTCTTCAACTGAACGGCGGACATCTGAAGCCTGTACTCTAGAGCTCCTCTTAACATTTTTGGTTCATGTTGCAGATCCTAAAATGTTATCCTTTTACCTTTCACTAAATGTAATTTCCATTACTCTATCATTTCTTATCCTTGATTTCTGCCCAAACATTTTGTTTCAAAAATTATAAAAACACCCTGTATTAAGATGGTGGTTCAGTTTATGCGAGTTCATTATCAATCAATAAGCGCTCCCAAAAATAAAGAATGGTAAGGGGAAAAAAACTCCGCACCATTGCTGCGTGTAAGGCAGCCATCATTGAGAAGATTCAAGTGATCACCCAATAGGAATGTGCACGTGATATTAACATCTTTACATTCAATAGTGTCTTTAACTGAACAGCGGACATCTGAAGCCTGTACTCTAGGGCTCCTCTTGACATTTTTGGTTCAGGTTCGCAGATCCCAAAATGTTAACCTTTTACCTTTCACTAAATGTCATTTGTGGTTCTTGATTTCTGCCCGATCATTTTATTTCAAAAATTGTCAAGCATCCTGTACACATTAAACGACGACATTAAAAGAACTATTCCATCATCCCCCATAAAAAAAAAAACCTTTGGAGAGCTTGGATGACTTGTGTACCGTTTTCGTGAGTTAGACCAAGACAAGGTGGTTTGCTGAAACCATTTGCCATCGAGTCGTAATAGCTTTGTTGATGGTCATAATACCTGTAACAGCTCTAATGACATGTAAAATGATATAACCACGTTAAACGAGCCAACAATTCCCACTGTCACGCGACATGTTTCAGCCTACAGAAGGATGCTGAGAATACCATAGACGGAACATGTGATCAACGAGGAAGTTTTAAGGAAAACAAAAAGGGCACTTGTCTTTACAATCAGGAAGGGACAGTTGAAATTTATGACGCATAATGGGGAAAGAGTGCTTGGTGAATTTTAACGCTGAAAACACCGGTTCACGTTCGATCACTAAAGTTAAGTGGCGTTGAGCCCGGTTAGTATTTAGATGGGGGACTGTTTAAGAAGACTGGGTATAATCAAACTCCTATAATCCGAAATATGCTTTGGCTTTAGATAACTCACAGAGGTGTTGATAAGCCGTAAAAAAGAAATCAATACTCAATCCTGCAAGTTTCTACCTTAGGCAAAATAAGTCAGATAACGTCACTGAGTGAATTAGAAGATCATTTATGGAAACTTGTGTGTGTGTATATATATATATATATATATATATATATATATATATATATATATAAACTCTTTAGACATGCTACCTTCCCCACTCTCCATAACAATTAAGTTACATATTTGCTTTCCATCTTAACTGTATACAGCTACAATATACTTGCATTCTCGTCCATTGCTATTCTTTTCTTTAACCTTCTTTTCCTCTTCCTTTCCATTACACTCAATGTCCTGTCTTTCAATCATCATGAGACTGTTTTTTGGGGTTTTTTTTTAAAGATAATTTGTAACGTTCTTCGTGTGTGTTTTTAAATGAACCGTTAAAGGTGTCATCTTAAAAGTATCGCCTAAAGCAGTGGTTTTCAACCAGGGTTCCGCGGAACCCTAGCGTTCCGCCAGTAAAGCCCAGGGGTTCCGCAAGAAGTTACACAAGTACTATCATTGAACAGTAATTTTAATTCTCCTGTGCAGATATGTGTTGAAGATGAACTTTGTGTGTATCTGTCAAAAACACGACCCAATATTAAAGATGTGTGCAAGAAATATCAGGCTCAAGTTTCTCATTGAATTTTTAATGAAAATAAACTTTAAACTGAAGTTTTTTAATACATGTGTAATAACCGTAGAAGCAAGATTAAAATTACATATGTACGTATACAATATTTTTACAGTTTGTCTTTGTATTTGTTTGTAAATAAATCTGAAGATGAGTATTTTTTATTTTATTTTAATAATTGAATCTGTTTTTGCATAAGACAATTTATTGCAGGGGTTCTTCGAGCCACTGGAATGTTTCCTTGTTGTTCCGCTCCACCAAAATGGCTGAAAACCACTGGCCTAAAGAAACCGTTAGGTCGAAACTATGGTCGCGTATTTCAGTTAAGCTACTGATTTTTAAAGTTTATATATATATATATATATATATATAATTGGGCACCTCGGCGTGGTGTAATGGTTAGCAAGCTTGTCTTGCTATGTCAGTTACTACTGAAAAGTGAGCTCGATCCTCACTGGATGTCCCATGCTTTCGGCCTTGTGCCACATCGAAGCTACGCTTGGAAAATCTTTGGGCACCTCAGGGCGGTGTAATGGTTATCAAGCTTATCTTGCTAGAACAATTACGACTGAGTAGTGAATTCGATCCTCACTGGGTGCCCCAAACATTCGGCCTTGTGCCACATCTAAGCTACGCTTGGAAAATCACTATATATATATATATATATATATATATATATATATATATAATGTGTGTGTGTGTGTGTGTATGAAATGGATTAATTCTGATAATTATTTTTAATATATTTTCCGTCTATGTTATTTTTGTAGATATAATTTATTTAAGTAAATGCTCTGTCTTTTAATTAAACATTAATTCAGGCCGGTAAATGTAATTAATACTGTTTAATTAAAAAAAAATAAAATAAATTACATCTCTAAAAATAACGTATAAACAGAAAATATATTAAGTCATTGTCGGAATTAATCCATTATTAATGTTATATATCACCAATTTCACAAGTTAATTCACTGATACACCTAACCTCTTTGATGGTCTTGTACTACGATATATAGAGTTGAAATGAGAGGAAAGATAGTAATCTCCAAATTGAGAAGATTGCTTAACCCTATTGATCAACATTCAAAATGTAAGCCTTTAGATGCAACATCTAGCTATGGAAGATTTAAACATCGTATATTTAGGCAGCAAACTTTCGTTTATACATGTGCTATTTAAAAAAAAAAAAATGAACGGTCAGAAAATATTTGCTAATCTTTTCAATGAGTTTCTCCTGGTGCTGAACAAGTCACTAATAATTTCTAGTAATGAAACTTGCCGGAATTGTGTGTTATGTTCACATTACTTTCAACCATCGTTGGTCGTTTTCAATGACAGAAAGTAGAAAGTCGAGAAACAGGCAGATATATGCATTGACATTTAATGGTACAATGTTTGAAATGAATGGAGGTTTCACAAGGAAAATAGATTTTAGCGTCACGTGACTAAAATAACTTTCAAAATCATTATAACGTGTGTATTAAGACCAAAACAAATTTTATTGATAGTGGGTTGCTGTCGTTTGATGTAAAGGACTTCTCGGATTTTTAATCGTTTTTTTTTTTTGTGTGTGTATGTAGTCAGAGTGGCAGATTAATGCTGCAGTGGCTCTGGCAAATGTACAGAAAGGTAATCATTTTGAAATTGGTTTATCTAGCAACATATTTCTTTGGACTGAAATAACGCCCCTTCTTTAAAAAAAAAAAAATAAATAAAATAAATAAATAAATAAATAAAAAGAACAAAGAAAAAAATTGCAGGATTTTCTTTAATTATTTTGTTCCAGTTTTTTTATTATTTTTTTTTTCTCTAATTTTAAAAAGAAAAAATGGAAACAAAAAAAAAGACAACGAATGAATTTTTTCTTTTTTTTGTTATGAAATTTTCATTCTTTTTGTTCGAGTTAATTTTCAACCAAGTTTTTTATTTATTAATTTTAAAAACTCAGTTTAGAATGATGATTAAACACTACAGATGACAATCTCTCATTTTGCACAAAAAGGGGTGATTTATTTGGTTATTATTTTGTTTTCAATATTTTTTTTTTTACTTCACCTCATATTTCAGATAGACTTTAAAAAAACTTTTGGCAGCAATTTTTATTTTAATTTCTTTTTCTTAAAAATTCTTTTTAATATGAATTTTTCTGTCTTACCTTTGTTAGGTTTGTCTATATTTTTTTTTATTTATTAAAATAAATTTTTACCTGATTGTTCCTAGGAAAAGTGCCTGATTTAAAATCTGAGAACGTCAAAGGAAAATATTTTTTAATATACAATGAAATCCATATCTATCCTCTTAATCTTAACTTCCTACCACCTTTTCTTACATGCATAACATTTATCGCATTCAGTAACCCTCTACTGCAAGTTGCTCTCAAGCCTTGTATTCAGTCAGTTAGTTATGTGCCATGCGTGATACACGCTTAAGCGATCATGTATTTTTCGATACATGACTGACGAGGCAGATTTTTTTTTTTTTTTGCGCAGTATGTTGCCATTTCTTTGTACGGTAGACCAGTTGCCACCCAAGGTTACAGAACCTGCTCTGTCCTGCTATTTACCTATAGCTGGGGGGAGAAGAAGAGGATTCATAACTTTCCCAAGGATATTAGCACATAAGTGAATCTAATGGATTTGACTGGAATTTGAACTCGGATCTCTGATTCCACAATCTGAGCTGCTATCCATTACTCCACCATGCCTTGATTATATGAACTTTTAGTTAAAAGAAAAAAAAAAAAAAAAAAAAGTAAAACTTAATGTATTATTTATGTATTCATTCCTCTCCAACAAGAGAAAATAAAAGCAATATCTTTTTATGAGATACGAGCCCACAGATTATTAGTCATGGGTTTGGTAAAGTATATAAAATCATAGAACTAAATTAAAATGACTCTGCAAAAAAAAACAACAAAAAACACAGTAAATAAAAGCTAAATTTTTCATAAGACCAAATTCACAAAATAAATGACTATTCAGAGCTTGCGAGACTGACTCCTTAACCGTTGCTCTGTGGTTAGTGTATGCCCGGATAGCATAATGACTTGGTACAAAAAGAAAGCTAGGTCTAATTCTGTTTCTTTCACTTTGCACTAACACCCTTGAAAATGGCATGAATCCGTCTCTCCTCCATCATCTATGAGTCGTATAGCAGAACAGACTAGCCTTGAGTGGCAGCCAGTCTAGGAGAAGAAAAACTCTGAATTCAAAACCAGCCTGAAGAGGGATAGGCTCCGTCAGGCTTTAGTTCTTGACACATTCAACAGCTGTATATATGTTGCAGCAAAGACCCTAAAATAGGCTTTCAGGGAGACATATTTTTTGCTTTTCCTGTGAGTGGTAAATTAAATTTTTTTTTTTCTTAAATTGGCATTTATCTTTCATTTAAATTAAATTCTCTATGCTGAAAGAATATTTTTTTTTGTTACTACTATGAAAATGGAACAATGATATAGGCAAATCTCTGTATGCTATATATATATATATATATATATATATATATATATATATATAATGTGTGTGTTTTTATTAAAGATTTGTCAGAGATTGAGAGAAAACACCCAAAAAGACTGAAACATTGGTATTTTCAAATTTGTTTGGGTCAGTTCTCATTGGTTAAACCTACATACAACAGAATTATCCACGGTTTTAATAAACGTGACACATGTCTGACCAATGAAAACTGATCTAATTGAAAATATCAATGTTTTCAGTCTTTTTGTCTGTTTTCTCTGATGAAGCTTTAATAAAAGTGAAACATGTTAGATTGATATACATTTCCTATTTGTTCTTTATTTTATCACACACACACACATATATATATATATATATATATATATATATATGGCATGGTATTCAAAAGGACTCTGTGCAGGTAGAATTTTTTGTTCACTGCATCTTATGGCTGGGTCATGAGTCAAAACATTTTTTTTTCTGTTTTATACTCACAAGGAGCTTATTGATTTGTGGTTTTTAGTAATAAATTTATTTTAGTTATGGCTCCTTATTTACCTGCTGTGTCTACCTTTTTCAATTTTGCTGTTTTGATCATTGTTATTCCAACAAATCTTTTTGAAGGCGTGTTGGCCAAAAAAAAAGGTTACTTTAAAGGAATGCATTCTGTCTTTTTCAAAACCACCAAAAATTTTATACCACAGAATATATATATATATATATATATATATATATATATATATATATATATGGTAAAAGAATCTCTGAATTAAATAATCCATGTAGATCCTATCAATATAAAGTATTAAAACTGATCCACAAAAGAGACTTCAATAT